GGCACGTCCTCCCCCTGGCAGCCCAGCTTGAGGGGCCCCAGTTCCTTCAGCACCAATATACTCTTGGAGTTAACCTTGTGACTTTTTAATGCAGTAAAATTGCACTGATCAGATGTTCTGATCTGTTACATGCCTCTTGTACCATGTGCTGTAAGTCACAAACACCACTACCAATTAGGTAACAAGCATATGCACAGCTGAAGACACAAGCAAAGAATATTTCGAAAGTAACAATGACGTATGAAAACAGCTAACAAAGAGGGAAAATTGGCATCCTGACCAAAACATTAATGTCTCAATAAGCTGTAATTCAATACTACTTACTTTACATTTATCTCCCACTGAGTATTGCATGCCAGCAGCAATAGAAAAATCTTGTTTTTGCTGATCTGTAAATATATTAACAGTAATATACTGTTAGTTTAAATACACCAGAAGAGTTATTTTCTTGATGCAGTAAAAATGCAAACCAGTAGTTCAGGCCCTAAATCTGCACACTGATCTATAGGAAGAAAAGCACTCCCTAAACTCAAACTGCCTTTTGCATCTGTTCACAGAATCACAGAACCATTTAGGTTGCAAAAGACCTTCAAGATCATTGTGTCCAACCATTAACCTAGCACTGCCACCTCCACCACTAAACCATGTCCCTAAATGTCATATCTCCCTGTCTTTTAAAACCCTCCAGGGATGGTGACTTCACCACTTCCCTGGGCAGACCCTTTTGGTGAAAAAATGTTCCCTAATATCCCATCTAAACCTCTCTTTGAGGCCATTTCTTCTGGTCCTATCACTTATTCTTCAAGAGGGCTCTACCTTGTACATCAATCTACATAAGTTGGAACTTCTAAGTATTCAGTTACTTACCCCATTTGGATTGGAGCCAAACATCATATTCAACATTTCTGTAAACTGATGGATTGAGTGATTTAAGAACTTTTTTAGGCAAGACCAACAAGGCAGGATTCCCATTGCTCTTATGGTGCTGTATGAAACAGAACAAAGTGCCAAATGGTCAACTACATAAAGATTTACAGTTTTCCATTTTTCAATCACAGTGCTTCAGTTTTAAACTGAAATATAAAGAAGCTGAAAATACATAAAGCATGAAGAGCTTGGAAAAAATAGTTCAATGTTCTTTTAACCATACTATAACAAAACTAAGAACTAAGCAGCTTTATAAAGGACACTATCCACCTCTTGACACATCATAAGCAAACACTACTTTTCAAAGAAATAAGCAGTTTAAATACTACATGTTAGGAAAACTAGAAACTCAAAGTTCTCTCATAAACATTAAACACTGAAAAACATAGCAGAGCCCAAGTTATTAGCAAGAAAATAATTCTTAACATATAAATACCTTGTTGTCAGAAAGAGACTTCAATCCATTCATATCACTAACTGTTGTAGCTTTACTTCTGCAAAAAGATGGGAGGAGGTTGTTAGTATAGTATTGAGAAGGTCTAGAAATCAGGTAAGAAACATCCTGGAAGTGGATAAAAATAGTGAAACTACCACCTCTCTACATATTTTTCCACATTAAGCATACCATAGAACATCTTCACCTCTTAAAATTAAAAAACTAAGTCTAGAACAAGAGCTACATTTCTATACCATATTAACCTAAAAATACTTTTGTTTCTGAGTGCAAGTTTTAGGAAGTCTAATGTATGTGTACTGACTTAGCTATCACTTGGAGAAAAAAAAAAAAAAAGGCATGGGAGGGCAGCCAAGGGAAACAAAAATATTCTCTAAAATTTCTGCAACTACACAAGAAAAACATAGCAAAAGCAGACAAAAAAGGTAAAAAAACCCCAAAACAACAGAAAAGTTTGTAATTTGGGTTAACTACATCAAGAGTAACAGACTAGCTCTTGCATCACAAGACATACGGTTTAAATCAAAAACATTGAGTCTGATAGTCTCAAGGGATTATATGACCTTCATTTACAAAGGCGCTAGGAAGGTTAGCAGTGTATTTTCTTATGAATCCCAAAGATATTAGGGTAATGCTACTGCACATGAAGCCCAGGAAAGCTCCAAGAACAGAAAAGAACAGACAAGGTTTCCACTCTCTGACGTTTAACTACAGTAATTGCTTCCCAAGGCAGAAATACTTTGTATCTTAACTGGAAATATTCCCTAGCATTTTTTCTTCCATACAAGAAAGGAAGCTAATCCCTTTCCCAGAACTTGGTTTTCTTTCTGTGGTGATTTCCATTATCTTCCTTTCTGTTGTTTCCAGCTTGAGGAAAAAAAAAAAATCAGCTCCCTACATCTCCATGAAGTTCGTCTACCACACACCACACAGACTACAGCAGAGCTCCCAGAAAGGACTTTAATGACATTTGGCAGGAAGAGGAGGCATGCTGCACTTGCATAGCAGAATCTTCATGGCTTCAATGGCATTTCACACAAAAGGAATTAGTAGGTCAAAAATCTCAAAGCTAGCTAGAGCATCCAGCTCCAGCAAAAAGAATATAAACTCTGTATTTTTCCATTAGCTCTATCTCAAGCAGGCATTTCAGACCCCAGATGTGGAAGTAGCAGAAGCTGGATTAAACTCCAGTAACTCAGTTGCAAGAGTGAGCCAAGTAATTCCCATGGCGCTCCGCATGCCAGACTGGCACACTGATAATCCTCCCAGGGGATTCTCCTATTTTAAACAGGAAGAGGGACATGTTGCAATGGCAATATTCCATTATGTAAAGAGACCCAAAGCTAAACTGTAGGAAAAACAGAGGAACCAGGACTCTGTCCTTCGGTACAACAAAGACTACGTATTTCATTCTTTCATAGATCTAATCTTACCTCTTTGCATTTCTCTTCTGAGTAATTTGTAAAGGTTTCCAACTCTGACAGATTCTACTACCCACCAGAAATTCAGAAAACTCATTTAACATATACTGCTCACAGGTATCTTAGGTTAACTTTTTAATCACATTTACCTGTAGCTGTCATCTTCTGAATCTGAAGCAGATAGTTCACTGCTACCATTACTTTCCTCTGTCATACCAGCAGCACTAAGTTCTGCTATGATTTTCTTTACATCCGTATCAAATACTTTCTCATACAGCAACTCATACAGCAGAGCTGAGGAAGGGGAGGAGAAAGCGGAAGAGCAAAATCAATTACAAGGTAAATGAGATTTTACACCATCATTACAAATGCATTTCAAATTACTTCAATCAAAGCAAGTAAGCATTTTTATGTATTAACTGAAATAGTGAAGGCATTAGAAGCAAAACCACCTGCAGCCACTATGGTTATTGGGTATGAATGAAACTACTAGATATCAAGTCCTCTTGACAGGCAAATCTGGCCTTAGCCTTGTAACTCTGCACACAGGCAAAGTTTTCATGAAGAATCAGAATCTCTGTAGAGTATCACAGTGACTCAAACCTGATTAGGACCTTTGGGCACTTCTGCAATCTAGTAAAGAAAGCAGTAACGCATGAAGACAGTTATATTTTGCATATGCAACCCCCATGATTTCTGTGACAAGTTACACATGCAAAGGATAACCTAAACATAATTTAATTTTAACATAAACAATTAGTTAGCTAACAGAGTCTGAAATAGAAAATTAAAACCAGAATGCTGACTGAAGGCAACAGATAACAAATTAGCACACCAACATTTTCCGTTTATATTAGACCATCCATGTCAAGAATCAGGACACAGTAAGAATTCACACTCTCACAAAATCATATAGTCATTGACAATCCAAATCAAAAACTAAGCTGCTAAAGAATCACAACGAGCTTTTACACAGAGCCTTTTCCTGAAACCTCATGTTGATTCTTTTAAGATTTTTGGTAAAAATACATGTTTTTAACTAACCAACGTAATACTTACACTGGCACAGAGCAGCCTTCTCTGAATACTCTATGGGATAAACAATATCATAGTGGTTTCCATTTGAGAAGCACAGCAATACCTATCAAAAAAACCACACAGATATTTTAGAATTTGCATCTCATTTAATTTTTCATATGAGCACTACCTTTTAAATTCAATTTAATGTACCAATGCACTTTGTTATCTCTCAAAATCTCAAAGTATCAATAAAACAATAAAAATCTTTTAAACCAGAAAAAAGTTGACCAAAAGTCAAAAAGAATTTAAGACAGAGATAGCTATGTGAGTTGGCATCACTTGTAAATTGAATTTTACAGAATTTTAGATTACTAGGAAGATATATCTCACCCCAAATATCGACCATCTATTTAAAAAGAAGTGCTACATGTATTAAACAGAAAAGCTGCCTTAAATATGTACAAAAGAAATTGTTAAAATTGAATTCTCAGAATATGTTATTATGTGAAATAATCAAACCGACATGAAACTATTTGTCGTTTATAAAGTAGCCTTTCAAAATAGCCATAACCTTTTGTTTGGTTGGCTTTTTTACCTTATCAGAAAAGCCATTCTCAGTTACATGTGAAGGAGAAGCATTTGGTTCCCGGTATATTATGAAATCTTTCCTGAGGAAAAAAAAAAAAAGTAGTAATTAAGAATTAATTTTAAAATTATTATCAATTTTAAAAAATGGATCATTCAAGTCAAAGAACATACATAACCACAGAAAACACTTAGTGGAAGCAAATATTGAAGAAGTTGAGTGCAATTACGACTGGTAAAAAAAGTCACACTTTTAAGAAAGAACGTACTAGAGTAAGATGTGCTGCATAACATGCACAGAGCCATTGTACAACAGATTTCCAGACACCGCTTTCTGGAGTTGTGTCTAGAAAGATGATGGCTCCCCAGTCCTGGAGATATCCATTACACTTCGTCATTTGGAAATCCACCAGAATCAAGAGGAGGTTGGTTTTAGGAAGAGAGGCGGGAAACAGTGATAGGTTTCTGGAAGGTGAGCGATGGCTTAGGCTAAATCTGTACCAGCAGACTGATTGCATCCCTGTGAGGTGAGAACCCTTCTGGGCACAGGGGCCAGCTAACAGAACAGCCCACATCTGTGCTCAGAAACTCTTCTCGACCCTAAGTCAAGGTCTTGTGCTCAGAAGGGTCTACACAATGTTTCTGCTCCCAAACATTGGCCCAGCTGCCACAGTGTGCTAAGAAGCATGCCGAAAGCCCAATAGACCATCAGCGGGCATTGCCCAAGGATCAAATACTGTAACCAACCCTCTGGCAGCTCTGAAAATCATGTCCTCAGAGTGTCTTGGTTTTTTCATGCATAGCAAGAATAATATTTTAATGCATTTTAAAAGAGATCTTACACTGTAAAACGACATTCAGAGAGCTCGGTTTCCTGTTCTCTCTGCAAGTGCAGAGAGGAACACCATGCTGTGTTCGTTAGACTCAAATTCTTGGATTTTTTTAGCAAAGAAAGCCCTCAGCTCTCTCCTCAACTAGAGAATGGAAACAAACTTTTAGGGAAGCCTGGACTGAAGCAGTAGGCAGTGTGCTGTTGCAGTGCTGGCAGATCCTCATCATCACAGGTATCAGCCCAGCATAGTTTTTCACAGCAGGTTTAGAACATTTTTATTGCTGCAAACTAAGTTTCGGTACCCCATTACATTTAAGAGCACTAAAAACACCATAAATGGAGAGTTGAGCTACCACAGTTAAGACAATTTAGAATTTACATTCTACATATAAAATTCTTTTTTTAGCTTGTTAGGTTAAAAAGCATAAGAAGTTGCACTGGGTATAAAGTGACAAATACAGAAAAATCCACAACTGATACTAGCATGACATGCTATTTGTTTTTTTATTTTCTAAAAACTAAAAGACTACCAATCTCTGCTACTTGTTTTTCTGCTATAATCAATCGGTCATGATCTTAAATTTAATTATTTTCTCTCTTTTATCCACAATCTTCCCTCTGAATTCTTTGCTCAGCAACATATCACTTCCTTCAGCTTCTTTCCTTGCTCACACAAGCAAAAGTTTAATTAGTCTTGCAAAATGATTAAGTATATTCACAGAAGCAGTTTTTGGATTAAAAAAAAAAAACCAACAACAACAAAAACCCAACCCACCCCCACAGAAGACAACCCCAAGCTTTCTACAACAACTCAGAAAAAGCGACTCTTAAAAAACTCCATAGCTAAGGGACCCAACTGCTTCAGAGAGGTGAGGAAAATTTACTAGATAACCAAATTTTTGTGACAGACCTGAAGAGTGGAAATTAAAATAAGCCTATTCACAGTGCATCTCCAGAACAGAAAATTCCTATTTTTGCTTTCCTTCAGTCTGCCAGCACACAGGGAAGGAAGCAACTCTTTCCTTCTACCTCCCATCACCATTCCTACTTTCCCAGTGCCTCCAAACTATCTTTTTAAAAGAAGCCAGTCTTCCCAAAAACAAGCATGGCAGGAACAATTCTTGCATGTTCAACTCTGCAGTGAAATACTACACGTAGTTGCAACTATGCCATAAGCTTCCTCACACTTCCAAGTGACATTAAAAAAAAAAACCAACAAAAACAAACCCACAACACAACAACAAACTATTATCAACGACAATTTGTCTCTGTGTTCATTTATCAGCTCTGGTCCTGAATACTGATATATCATGACTTAAAATAAATCACTTCTATTTCAAAAGAATACATTTCTCACAGCCAGAAGAAATAGAACAAACAGAAGACCACGACCATCCTATTCCAGTGTAATCAAGCATGCAATTTTGTTGACTTAAACTGAGTTACCTCCCTCTACATCCTGGTTCAATGTAATCATCAGACCTTCTCTCAAAGTCTCTCGAGCCAACTCTCACTCTTTCAGTTCAGTGCTCTTCCACACACAGAGCACATGCAACTCTTAACTGTCCTGTTTACCACATACAATGCAAGCAAAGATAGAATTTCATGCAATTTTCTGCACTTAGCACTCACCTAAACATTTGAAAGTAATATTTAACTAGTTTGCTTCTTTCCTCTTATCAACTGTCTCATCAAAGTACAAAGAAAGTTATTAATTTAGAGTTAGCATTTTGAAATACTGGGTTTCTTTAAACTGGTTTACAAACAGCAGAAAGAGAAGATGCTGTCCATTGCTCATTCTCTTGCACAGTAATTAGAAAGCAGTTATAAATACACAGCATATTGTTTTATATGACTTTGTGAAGAGAGGTTAATATATAGGATTATATTTACTATACACATCAGCAAAGCTGTTCATCACCAAGAGGAGTATCACTAAGCTGTATCACAGCATTACAGAGGTAATAAACACACACAGACCACAGCTTAGCAACAGGGTTAAAAGAAAAGCCTTGGTGAGAAACAGGAAGACAAGCAATTTTAGCAGAAAAATTAAGATATGAAAATTAACAGAATACAAACTGTACGACTCTATCCACAATTAGTTGTGCAGGTGAGATGAGTGACATTATTGTGAACTTATATTCAAATCCCAGATTAAATGTCACTTTCAAAGCTCACTTTTCAACTTTTATTTAATACCTTGACAGCTGCAATTTTCTAAGCATATTTTTATTTTTTTGGAGAATTACAGTATGACATACAATTCCATCTTTGCTAGTCTGATTAACTAACAAAACAACTGAACATATTTAAAGCTTTTCTTACTTGTACATGAGAGAAAGGGCACTTATTTCTACTTGTCCAACCCATTCCTGTATTGAGGAAAAAAAACAAAAGAAAATTAAGTTAAATCAAACACACAATTATTATACTTCCTCATGTGTAGATCAAGAGAAACAAGAAATCATTGTCAAAAATAAATGTATTGCCACTGAGTCTGGAGTTCAGACACTTTGTATTTGTTTTTTAAATAACACGATTTACTACCATCAGCATATAACCTGTGGATTTGACTAACAAAGCTTTACGATTACAAATCCTGGAATAAACAAAGACAGAAGGAGAATAGGGTAACATCCACTGTCTTTCACCTTCCACCATTCATTTTAGAAACCAAGACAGAGAACCATCTGGGTAGCCATTCCAACTTTATTCAAGACCATCTTCAAGTAAAAGCTAGCCACGCTAAGTTTGCCTGCATTGGCAGTCCAGAATCATTTGGATGCAATTTTAAGGAATAACATGTTTAAATCAAGACACACAAAAAATTCCCCAAATCATTTTACAATAGAGAGTGCACACATGAAAATATATTCACATAATTCAAAGACCTTTTAAGTTTAGTCAAAAACATTTGAGAAAAAAAAATTCCAGTTACCCATCAACTTCAACAAAAGGACTGCTTTCTATCATAAATCGAGTTTAACATACCTGTGGATTTTCCAAACACTTCAAATATTCCTCAAATGGCCCCTCTATGAACTGTATTTTTAAAAAAAAGGTAATGATTAGTTATTTTTATCATATGGAATCCCCAGTCTATGACCCACTGTATCAATGGGAATGCACCATTAGAAACTTAAGACTATATTATCCTCAAAGAGCTTACAGTCTAAGTATAAACTGATGTAGTGATAAGGAAATAAAAGGTCAGAGGCCTGCATTCCAGAAAATATCCACATCAGCTTTTGGAGTCATCATACATCCAAAACAAAGAAGAAAGGGAAGGAGGAAAAGTAAAAAAAAATAGAAATCTAGCAGCCAGAGTGGAAATCAAAGGAAAGCAAAGATGCTGTCAAGTAGAGGAGTAGATGTTTATGGCAATTCATCTCAGGCATGCATAGCATCACTGGAGAGAGCAGGTGTGGGCTCATTCAAGTGTCTTGTTAAAAGAAATAGGCAGTAACAGACTATCAGATATGGCAGTCACGTTTCTGTAGTACTCCCACACCAATAAGATACAGTATAGGCAAATCATAGAGCACTTTTCTGTATCACCTCAAAGTGCTTTTACTTTCAGTGAATGGATGCAGGTGATCGGGCTACACTGTAAGTGCCAGGCTAAAAAAGTAATCCTTCTGCACTCCTTAACACACATGAAGAGGCCAAATTCTCATTCGTCAAAGCCAAAGAAAGATGCTACAGTAATTGAGACTTCAAAGTGCTTCAGCCACTCTGGCCAACAGAGGGGCTGTATTTAAAAAAGGCTATTTAGACACACTTATTGATTTAGCTAAAATAAAGATCCAGAAAGGTCCAAACAAAGAAGTAGTTCCCATTATGAACTTAAGCTACAAGCAGGATGGCCATTTTACTCATAGCGATTAAGAAACAATATAATAAGGAAAACTGAGAGGAGTAGCAAGATTAAGAGTTCTGCTTTAGCCATTTTGAACCTGGCTGGACAGTGTTGTTCATGAGAAGAATCAAAAAGTCTGGCCAAAATTTTTGATTTAGAGAGATGCAATCACATAGAAAGTTAAAAGGTGGATCAATAAAACATGACCACAGACAGCAGTTGTTCCGTGTGAAATTAAATGACCTAAAAATAATGCACAGAGGAAGAAAGGAAGGGCATCAGAAAGTTCTCATAGAAAACTGAAGAGTTTAAAAAGAGAATGAAAACAGTAGCAATCAAAGATAACACTTCAAGACAGGGTGAAAATGAAGATGGTGGTTACAGAGTCACCTGAAATTCTGGTTATAGGAGTATCAGTGGAGTGAAAGGACAAAAATCCAAGCTGAAATGGCTGCAACAGACAGAGAGAAGAGGAGCTTCAATGAGTACTACCAGTGCCTGTCAATACAATGTAACTACTAAGAAGATAGATGAGTAAATAGTCGAACTAAGAGACTAGGGAAAGAAGGCATTTGTTGTTTGGTTGGGTTTTTTTTAAGAGAGAGACGCTAAAAATGCTATATTCCAGATGGAAAACACAAAATATAGTAAGATATATGAGGAGCATAGGAGATCAGCAGAGCTGAAGTGAGGTACCTCAGGGAATAGAAACGCTAGGAAATGAGAACAGATATGAAACACCTCAATCTTGCACATGAAACACCTATTCTGAAGAATGACAAACTCTTAAAAAAAGAGACTTTTCAGAAGGACAGCAAAGATGGACAGAGGAGAGGTCACATTACTTGGGTCAAGTCTGAGGGGAAAAAAAAGAACAGTGAGACTTGGAGTTTGGAGAAGAGACCAAGATAGTAACACCAGCTGGGGTTTCAAAACAGTTACCTGGCTGAGAAGATGCCAGAACTTGGGAGAGGAAACAACACACATTTTGAGTCAAGAAGGGCCACTGCATTTCCAAAAATGACATAATGCAAAAAGAAAACATAAGTAGAAAAGCGGATATTGGAGTGAGAGGGGTAATTCTGGAAAAAAGGGGATTTAAAAGGCAGCAGTGAAAAAATTAGAATGGAATGGAATAGGATAGGGTAGGGTAGGACAGGATGGGACAGGATAGAGTAGGATAGGAGATTTAATAGCTGATAAATCCTCACATGGACTGGAAACAAACAACAGGACAACAGTCCTGGCCAATGGAAATAGCCAAGTCAGAAAAGCATTCCTCCAGAGAGATTCACTGTATTTTATGTCATGCATTTTTGACAACTTCCACATTAACAGCGAGCACTCACATTTGAGCACAGGGCACTTTGTCAGAAATTATAGCAAATACACACGCCCTTACTGCTGCTTTTCTTCTTTTAACATGCATCAAAAACAGCCTTTTGATTTTTGGGTCCATGTAAATTTAGAACACAAAAAACCAGAGCTAAGTAATAATCCTTTAGTAACAGATGCTTGCACGTACTCCTGTGCTGCTATCCTGGAAATCAGTTAAATAGTATATACACTAGAACACATACAAACACAAATAGGAGCACCATTATTTATTATTGTTCTTTTAAAAGTAAGAGAAAAAGGATTTTATAACATTAAGACTGACGACACTTGTCAAATACAGATCAATATCAAAATACTTTATGTCCATGGTTGACGGAGAACTTTGCTACAGATTTTTAGAGAAAAAAGACACAGTAACAATACATAATAAATTGTAGACCCTGAAACAAACTTCACTAATCTCACCAGTCAAACCTCTCATATATTGCAAAAGCAATTAAAAAGCACAATAAGAACATTTAATGACCTTCATTAAAATACACTTCATACTATAATAAAATCCAGATTTATGGTAACTCCACTACAGACTACAAAAGTTTTGTTTTGTTTTTTTTAATGAGCATTAAAAACTCTTCCCACTCCACATCCCCTCGGTCCAAGCAGCATATAGGTCTTCTCCAGGCTTACAAAAATGAGTTGCTACCACGTATGTGCCAACTAATTTAAAGATAATTCACTTTACACAGCACGTACTAGTTGATGCTTTTTATGCTCTGACAAACACTGCCACAGAATATACCTCAGAATGCAGCAGAGTGTACCTTAGAAAAGTGGAGGGAATAAACTAACATTTTTTAAATGCTCACACAAAGGAAACAAAAATACTTACTGCTTCAAATTTCTCCCTATTTTTCCGAAGATAGTCTACACAAGCCATTCTAACATCAATATGCCGAGACTGAGAGTATAACACCTACAAAGGGAGAAAAAGAAGAAAGTAACATTGGTTCTTAGGATTTTGATGGCGGTTCCTAAATAATTAACAACTATTGTCTAAATACAGGCTTAGAAATACTCTAGCTTTATTTTTAAGAATATCTGACATGCATATTCATTCAGTAAAGACATCGTTATGCAGGCGAAACCTCAAGTACTTAATTAAAAAAAGTAACTGTAGAATTCACAGATTTACTAAATTCAAACATTCAATTTTATGAGGATTTACTAGGCAAGAGGAGTAGCGTTTGTTGCCATTGTTTAAGAGACTACTTTGTAAAGGACCCCAGTTAATTGAAGAAGTTATTGCAGGAGTGCATGAGGAAATCAACTACCAACATGCACTCATTCAAATGAGATCCAAGCAAATCCAAGAGTGACTTTGAGGTGCAGATGTGTTACCCAAACACTGATTTGGAAGCCAGATTCCAATATGACACCTGCATTCTATCTCCTGTTCAAATATCTACTGGAAAAACATTACTTTCATCATAGGTTCAAGAGTTACCTCTAACATGACTTTGTCTGCATCCTTACTACAACGTAGAAGTTCCAGTCAGTTTAAACTGCAGCTCCTCTTGCAACCCTTACACACTACCCTCAATTTAAAACACTTCCAAATTCAGATGAGTTCAGTTTTTCTGCATGAAGAGTACAGAGATTAGGCCACATTCACGAATAAACACCTACTAACTCTGAATTAAAGACCTTCCCTTAACAAAATAAGAACAGGATGTTAAAAAAATAATTAAAAGCTGGGAAAAAAAAGTTCTATATGCACTGGAGTGTGGAAGAAGCCTTCTATATATTAGTGAAAAATATTAGAATATCAGCAGATATTGACTGATCATTCCCTTGAAATAAAAAAAAAAAAAACCACTCACTTCAGAATAATAGTGTTAGCTTGCCTCAAATTATACATTCAGTGGAGAACGTAAATTTAAAAAAATTAAATTCAAAAATAGTGAACTGTATATAATTAGCACAAGAATCTGGGCTCCCACAATCAGGAGCACCAGAGCTCCCACTGCTGTTTGCTTGTATTTAAGACAAGATGACGCTGTCAATTTTTTCCTTTAACAGTAACACTGAAATGGGGGAAGGGAATTCAACAGGAAGAACTGAAAATAAATCAATCATTTTCTCTAATTTTATAGTAAACTAACTAACAAAACTAAGAACAAGGCTTTTCAGCTCTTTCCACTAAATTCAGTTTCCTAAAAAGTCTCATACAAAGCAATTGTACCGAAATATTGAAATCTTACACTAAGAAAAAGCTCTGAGGCAGGAGTGGAAGGTCAAAACAGGTAACAATTTCTTGATGACACAAGGCAGCTGTACACACAAAACTTCCCTCCCCCAAGATACAATTTTATTTTCTTTTTCCCTTGCATAACCTTAACCTACACTTTCCTGCATTTTAACACTAATTATCACACACTAATGAGCCCCACTTCCCATGCTTTAGGAAGCAGCTTTATGTAAGCAGTTTACCTGCTCGGCCACAGCCCTGAAAAGACAAGATCCATCCTTGGCAACCCTCTTCCTGTACAAGCCCTGCGAACGCAGGTAGCAGTCCATCGAGGTGTCCCCGGGGGCGTCCATGCCGCTGCCTCGGTGACTCTGCTCCCCGCCGTCGGCTTTGCACGCCGCCTCCATCTTTACCGCTTGGCTCCGAGCAGGATCGCCGCACCTCTCCTAGCCCCACATGGCAAGGCAAAGCCACTGAGCAGCTCCAGGGCCGGGGAAAGGAAAGAGGAGCAGCTGGTGGAGGAGCAGAGCGCTGTCCCCCCCAGCACTCGAGGTAGCAGCAGCAATAGGAAAAGTAGCCGGGCTCACGCTAACAACTCGCATGTGGGAATAGCTGAGAGAAACCGCAAAGTTTTATTCCACTGTCTGCACTTCCAGCTCGGTAAAACCCGTGGCTTCTATGCTTCTCCGAAGGGCCGGCCAGCAGCTCCTGGGCACGGCTCCGGCA